CTTCTACGCTACATTGACAACCTTTACTTTCAAATAAATAATCATGTCCCATACACAAACAATGCTCGTGCTAAGAAAGTTACTCCTCGTAAAAATTCTCCCACTCAAACAAATTAGTAAAATAGCACCTCAATAAAGTATAGATGATATCCCGATGCAAGATTTTGAAAGCATTGGTTACCGTATCCCATTTATTTAATAAAGTTTTAATTCTGCATCCAAAATGATAAAAAAATAACTAAAAATAAAATAAAATATAGAAATATATCCCAAAAAATTAGGAGGAATAACGTCTAGAACCGACGTAAAACACGGACCGCGGTCGGTAAGTTTTCGCACGTTGGTTATGAACGCAAGCGCGAACTGTGGCGAACAGACGCCACGGCGCAGCTGCTGCTAGTCCTCGTTGCCGCAAAAACAAGCGACGTGACGAGAAAAAAAATCACGTTGAAACTTTTTATGTCGTTACTTTAGTAAACGAAAATCTGTTGGTATAGGTACTTTTAATGATTTCATTAGACTCTACATCACTGTACATTTTTACTGAATTTACTCGCGATCAACAAAATTAATTCCTATTTATCGTAATAGGTACGTTTTAATCAATTCCACTGTCGTAAAACTTCAACAGTGTTATCAATCAGATAATTCTAAATAAATTCCGTGCCACAATAGATTCATTTTTATATAAGTCGGCAATTGTGTTTTATTACTCATCTGTCTGGTCTGTTCATAACTCAACTACGTCCACTAGAGCGTAAAAACTTTTTTGCGTCCACCTGAAACGTGGCAAACGTGGCATTGAAGGACATGGACGCGCGCCAAATGGACGGAAACGCAGTCCATCTGCCGCTCATACCTGCCCGTCCGCCGCTGCCCATCTGCCCGGAACACGACGCCGGCTTGGCAGCTGCTCAGCGCATCAGCTGGACATATACGTATCCGAACACTAAAATACGCTTCAATACTATTACTAAAATACGCTTCGCGTTGCTGAGTGAATCAACTGGGCATGATGTGCTAACAGGCAAATGATGTTCAAATAACGTCGATTTAACGTTTTTAACAAAAATAAAGCTCGTAATTAACGTTGTTTTAACGTCATTTGCCTTGAGCTAGAATAATAGGTGTCACCATGACACTGGTCGAGCGTGCACGAACGATTATGCGGTAAAATTTGAATATTGCCGATAATGTTTAAATATATAATTTTTAACAGTATAGGAGGTGTTGGGGGCAAAACATTACGCGCTTCAGTTTAGAAGAGCTTGATTTATAAGAGTATTTGAGGTGTAAGTATAGCTAAGTAGCAACACTTTAATTAAGACGGACTTCGAAAGTTTGAATCAATACATTTAAGCTCCTGCATGCTTTTTGAGTTAGTGCTTTCCAGAGATAAACGAGATACAGGTACAGCAAAACAATATTTATATAAAAAACAAAAAATACTACATTGCAGTACACATGGCCCTTTTCAGAAGCAAATGCGTTGCCTACTAGAAACCTCTGACGGCTACTCCTATTTTTCGTTCTTGGAAGCATCAGAGTTAAAATTCATGCCCGTGTTCAATTCCTCCGAATTAGCGCGGGTCTCATCCAAGCCAAATGCTTGAGTACGAATGTGTGGCTTATTAGCGGGCCTGATAGCTACTAACAACATCCTGCCAGTCTCCATCGTAGCGACGATATAGGAAGCCAACGATTACAACTTCAGCAAAAACACTCGAACGTTGCGAATCGATAAGCTCAGCGCTGCCGGCTATGGAAACTGAGATAATGAACGCAGGAATATGTGAACTATAGGAGCGAAATGAGATAAAAACAAGGTACCGGTCTCGCTTTTGTGAGAAGTGCGATAAATCTTGAATAACTTGAGAGGTGACGAAAGCATTACAGGCGTATAGTTTTGTTCATTAACATCTACGAGTTTTTGAACTCGACCTTGTATAATATATACCTTTAAGTGGAGACTATTACCAAAGAAGGTAAGACTGCATAACTTTCAAAATTATGAAACCCGAAAAAAAGCAATAAACAATTAAATTAAATTAATTTTAATTATTCATGACTTGGAAAGCCCACATTCTAACAGTCGCGATCTCAGATGTACGGTGATAAAAAAATAGAACTGTGATTTTTTCCCATCGAAGTTAAAAAGTACGGAAGCGTCAGGAATCTAAATGAATAGTGTCTAAAAATTGTTCACGAGATGTTTAACATTGATAAAAAAATTCCATTCTATTAATTAACATTCCGAGTTTCACTTGCGGGATTGGTGAAATAGTTTTGAATGGAAATTGCTTTTATATTTATACTTCTTTACGTGTAACCTGAGCCATATCTCGTTTAGTAGAACTGTAGCAGGCGGAAGCCGAACAAAAGGAAATAGGAAGATCAAAGTGTAGCGGGAAGCCCAGCAAGCACAAGGAAACCTCACAACCTTCAGGCTCAACGCAGGCGAGAACAAGGGGAACCTTCCAAATTAAAGTTTCGCTACAGAATGTATTATAATAACCTGGTAACTTTCCCTCCAAAATGTATTATATAATCACCGAGTAAAAGAGAGTACCTGCTTAAATTTGGTAGGTTTTATTTAGCAGAGTTTGAATGATGAAATGTGTCGTGTAGCTTACTTACGGAAATTATCGAACACAGCTAAAGTATAAACAAAATATTTATTACTACCAGAAAATATTATAATACTTGATTATATTAGTTGAAATTATATTATATGATATTATATTATATGAAATTATATTTGATTATATTCTAATAGTTGACATTTTCGCCCGTCTCGTTGAAATACCTCCCACCGTCGCCCTCTTTATAATGAGTCGTTTAATAATTTTTACGGAAGTAAGCAGAAGAGTTGAACTTCGCATCGAATTTCTAAGCAAACCAGAAAAAAAAATGCTGTGTTCCCACCTTCCTCATGATAGTGGCTGAGTTCTACATCCACTTCCTCACCATTCTTCACTGCGAGCCAAAGCTCCCACGCTAGATTAGTGAATTACCCTAAGGGTAGAGTATAATTACCCTAAGGCCAAGACGCTCCTCAGGTACATTAAAAGACGCTTGCTTTACCATTCGAGGAGCGGGTAATTCCTCAATTCTGGTAAGAATAGCATGATGCATCCGAGGACAAATTTATCAGCATGAAAAAGAGAAATAACAAAAAAAAAACTGAGCCTTACTTCTCCTATTTTCTCCAGAAGTCCTACACTCGTTGTTCTTTGTAATCAGGACATCTTACTACTCAAGCTTGATTACAGTCGCGTTCCTAAAAACTTTTAACATAAATGAAATATTTCTTTTGGAAATAAAACCTTTGGTCAAACAACGACACTGTAAAAACTACACAATTAAAAGTTTAGTAAGTATGAACACGTTAATTTATGACGAACGACTAAGATACGGATTTGATAGCTCCCATCACCCTCTCCCTCTAACCTCTTCTTCAAATCACTGCGTTTCTGTATCTAAAATGAATTTAAAATACACAAAAAAATTAATAATGTGTGCGTGGCTTGCCTATAAAATACATTCAAATTCTGTATTCACGGTCGAGCGCCCAAACTTTCAAGAACTGAGAAATTCGTTATCTAACCGAGCAATCTCAAACATTCAACTTAAATTATTTTATTTATTTTTATTTATTTATTTAATTTTTTTTATTTTATTTATTTTACAGCTCATCCCAATCAAGTCTATATTATTATAATATTATATTAAGTCTCATCCCTCAAGAGTCTACATCAGACCCAAACACGAGGTTGCTACATCGATTAATTCTATAACTTAATGCAGTTATTTTACTACTTCATCCTCGAGGGATAAGAACAAACATAAACAAAAGGTTTTTGCATCGGGGATCCGAGGATGAAGAAGAAGCATGGGACGAGAAATCCTGCATTTCAGAACGGCAGGTCAAGGGGCACTTCCGAAATTTTTTGCTCCGCAGAGAATCGTTCCCAGCGGATGTATATGCTAGCACGAAGCATCAACACATGAAAGATATTTATGGAAGTGCCAGATGAAAATCATCGAATGCTTACTTTATTATAGCAATTTATCTTATCATATTTGCGGCAGGTGAATTATTCACGAGTTATTTAGTGCAAATATAATAAATTTTGTAGTAGTACACTTATACAAAGATTTGTAGTCCCAGATACGGTGGTGAGAAAAATACGACTAGTTCACAGTATCCAGAATACATTTATCGATATATCGACAGAATAACACACAGTTATTCAATATTCATGCGAAATGACAGGATACCCGAATACATTTATACAAAACACCGGCAATTTCATTGAATGACTGCCATCGCGTATGGCTTGGTCAAATAATCCTGGCCATACTTTCAAAACTCGCTAAGTGAACGTAAGTTCTTACGCTCTATTTTCTTGTCTATGATTGGTGGATTTTGCTTGAAAGGCCGTCAATGATTGGCTGATGAACTTACGATCTCTTAACTTTTTTTGAGAGTATAGGCCCTGATCCTCAAAATTAGTTACTCGCAAAAACTTGAGGTATCGCTCTCTTAAATGATAAAACTAAAATTAAGCAATGATAGCAACTTATGAAATAAATATTAAAGTCTTCGTTTTAAAACTGTGTTTCGTTTGAAAGATCACTCTTGAATACTAATTTACTTAGGTGGAATGAGAGTAGCAATTAATTGCACAAACATAATAAAACCATTTTGTGACTATATTGACTATGAATAATATATAACAGTGTTATATTCCCAGTCACCATAAGTTTAGATTCTTAACTCTAAATGGAAACGAGTATCGAATTCGAGCAACTGAACCATCGAGCGAATGCGGGACGATGCCTATTATAAGTATGCGTCGACGCAATTCTAGGCCAGGAGCTATACCAAATACCAATTCATTTTTTAATGCAACTAAAACGTATCGAATGGGATAAAATAGAAATATGAATACATAATTTAATCACTGATGAATTTAACAATAGAAAAAGACACTTACCCGAAGGAAGGAACATCACTAGAGTGAACGCTGTTAATAATAACCACTTCATTGTTGATAAATATTTTTTCTTTCAGTATTTTAACCGTGTTTTATCAATATCTCTCAAAAGTTAACACTGTTCTCTATGAATATCTATAGCATCAGTCATCGCTTTTTCTTCATCTGACGCCCAACAATTTCCGTCGAAGCTTACATCAACAAGCACGGCAAGGCGTTTGCGGGAGATTCCAGGCTGAGCGATCAGAGCGCGACACAGCATAACCTTCACCTACCACATCCAGTACTCCACTGACGCGTCGTGTGTTGTTGTGTACGCCGCGCGGGCAGTTTGCAGCAGCTGTAATGAATGGAACGTCTAGCGTGCTTGTGCGTGTGTGGTCAGCTGATGGGCACGGGGGTAGGTGCGGGGCGGGGTACAGTTTGGCGGGCACGGAGGGTAGGGTGGTCGGCTGGGTACAGTTTGTTGAGTACGATGGTAGGGTGGGCGGCTGGGTACAGTTTGGTAGGCACGGAGTGGGGTGGGTGGATGGGCATAGCTTGTGGGTATGGGGGTAAGGTGCGTGGCTGGGTCCAGTTTGGTGGGCACTGGAGAGGGTGACGACAGTCTGGCTGAGGTGAGCGTAAAACAGCAAGAGTCCTGAGTGACCTGGAATCCTGCAGGGCACGGCGTAGTACGATGACCTACAACTTGCGTACTACGTCAGAACGCCGAAATTGTAAAACTGAAATCTCGAAAAACGTTTCACCGGCGTATGAAATCGAATTCTTTCTTAATTCTTCAACTTTAAATCGTGAATACAATTGAATGAATGAATTTATACAAAAAGGCATAATTTATTATGGTACGTAGGTAAAAAGACGTTTGGAAATAATAAAAAGTATAGTGTATTCAAACGCATAGGATGTAATATCGAAAGAAATTACATTTATGCACATAACAAACTCGCCTCCTGATATGCAAATGATAAACGATTGCGTGTATCAATATTAAAATCATATAAGCTAAATTTATAATACAATGTCGCCAACTGTGCACCGTAATCCTATATATTTTTTATATCCTGGTCATTGGTCAAAATATATCTTACCGTAATCCTACATATTCAAAATATATTTACAAACTTTTCGAAAAATTAAAATAGGATAAGCATCAATTTTATCAAACAAGCAAAATATTCATCTCCCCACAAAAAAAATTTGAGCAGATTTGTAAATTCTTAGAAATTCTGGGCTTTTAATTTAAAATGAATCGTGTAAATTATTGACTATTTCTTCAGAAATGAAAAAAAAACGTTAAAGGCGCCAAGTCAACCAGCAGCCCAAAAACTGGACTGGAAATAATCGTCTTGCTCCGTACACGCATAACCATCAATTATTTCTCTCTAAAATACGGATTATAAAACATGTATAAAATGCAACCGCTGATCATGGAGAGAGTAGCTTAGCCTCTACAAGAGCTAGCGGTCAGTTCGCCCAGAGAAGCGGTGCTAAAAAACGCCACTGAAGAAGTCATGCCTCCAGTTTCTTGGCGGGAGAAAGCGACAGCCACGAAAGTTTCATTCACAAAAATGTTTTGAATGGTAGCGAGAAAGTATAAAATTAAATTGCAGGGGCGAGCGTAAGACGAGTGTGGGACTATGGTTTTTGCCATAAACTAATTCTGTCTCATCTTTAAATTAAATAGATTTTTTTGGCTAAGTGACAGAGCTCAAATGCAACAATAAAGGACAAGAAAACACACTTAAATCGTTCACTATTTCAAATACACACACAAATGTAATATGTTGAATAGAAAAAAAATATGTATAATTTGTTTTCTGTTACATCCTCGGGCAGAGACCGCACCCATCGCATGCATTGAAGTTGAAGGATCTTCTGATCCTATACACCTAAAATAAGAAGAACGGTTGATAGAAGATCTTGAGGTACTAAATAATTAGAAACCGTAATAAAAATTATGATTCTAACTTATAACATATCAGTAATAATTATAACCTTGTTTCAGCGTACATCTGGAGGTTAATCTACAACATTGTCCAGGGTAAACCCCATACAACAATCAGTCGGCCGTCGATCTTTCACCCATGAATCAAAACGGTCATCGGCAGGCCATCGGCGATTCATGCATAATTTCCCGCCGAGCACAAATTGGATTTGCCCTGGACGCTGGAGCACGAGCGAGAGTATCATCATAACCGCCGTGCATTACTTAGAGAGTTTTACGGTGCCTGGCACTGCATGCGAGTTGGATGCATGGTCGGCTGTAGCGAATAGGCTGTACTTTAGCGGGGCTCTTGATGTTGCCGCACGCGCTCCAACCACCCATTACGAAGCCAGTGAAAGTGGTCGGGTTATATGCTGTAGTACTCTAGCCCCAACTCGCTTCTCCAGTCTCAAGCGTCTACCACTAGTCAGTGGTAACTGAAGCAGTGGTGTTGACAACACCAATCAAAAACAACCAGCACCAATCGGCATGTTGGAATCATCCAGGACAATTGTTAGTCCTGCCTAGTGTTCAAACACCAAGTTCAATAGTGTGATCACAAAATCAACAACGCACAAGTTTGGTCATAAGGAATAACAAGAACAATCTCAGTCATGATGACCATCGTGTTGGTCAGACGAGTTCGTCATTGCCCGCAGCGCACGAGCGATGGTGTCTCGGGCAACGCCCGGTTCTTCAAGCGCAAGCAAATGGTCTTTCATGCTTGGCTGAGGTTAACAAGAGCGTCACTAAGACTTTAATTATAACTTATAGTCTCAGTAGAAGTGTACGGACAACAGACGGCTTATGGGATACACGCTTGGCTGGCAAATAATTCAAGATCGTACAGATATTGGATCAGGCACGGCATTTCGTTCAGTCTAGCACGAGCCTCTTGCCTTACTTCGAAGCAGTTTTTATCAAATATTTTTTCCAACCAGTCGAGGTAACTGCTCTTTACTTAGGATAACCGCTACATGCCGCCTCTACCGAAATAGAATGTACGAGTGTTATATGCATGATTTCTCCCTAAAGTATAACTATAAAAAAGATTCGGTGTCGATTTAAAAACACTTGAGACCATTACGGAATTCTATTTACAGGTTTCACCAATTTTATTTATCAAGTACTCATTCATAACATTTACGATATATTTTCCTTGTCAACACAACGTATTTCCTCCAAGTCTAAGAACACAAACGGAGTTCCCTGCACGTAAATTGTACACAAATGGCTGCTGAATGAATGAAGTAACTTCATACACATTATTGCCTACAACAAAATGGATGGGTCATATTGTTCAAATAACGACGCTCTTTTTTGACCACTGCACAAGCAGAGAGAGGTCCCTGATACACCCTTTGATGGACCAAGCTGGGTCAAGATGAACCATACAAGAGCAAAAAGTACATCAAAATTTGAACGAAGTCTCCCCATTCCTCTGAGTGCAGCGTTTGTTTCGAAAGGTTATAACGTCAACGTCAGCACCGTAAAGATTCCCAGCATTAGCTTCGTGTGAAAGCCGCTGCAGTGCAAGCCTATTGTCGAGCTTTGTTTATGGAAGGACGGAAATGTACGTGGAGGGACAATAGAGTAATTTGGAGCATAATAGAATGTACGGGGTAATTTGGAGCATAATGGAGTAAACGGGGTAATTGCCTTATACCTGGCCATTGTAAGCATGGTTCGCCGGTGAGATTTTGGTTTGTGGTGTCGAAGTGAATAACCTGAAGGATCACACTGGACAGCAACAATAATTGACTGCAGGAGTGAGGAATGTTGATGACGTCTACACACACATCTGCAACATGATAACATCACAATATAAATGGAACCTATGGATAGATAGAATGATATATTATATGGAATATTGTCAGAATTGTGCTAAAAGACCGATCTTATGGCATAATTCTGGTTAGCTATTGATAATTTTTTATATGTAAATGCTGGTTAAAGATAACCGGCAAATAGTCGGCCATCAGTTGGCCGTCGATAAGCCACCTAGAATTTGATTGTGGTGGCTTATCGAAAAAATCGAAAGCTTCTCATTAAGTGGCACAGCTAATATCAAATTACAATTAAAATGTAGCGCTCATTTATTGAGCAGGTACCTGAACAATAAGCTGTATAACGAAGCAATTAAAACCTGTTTGCTGTCATCAATAAGAACTAAATTTTGAAGTTAAATTGATTGCGGTGAGCTTTTTTGCGTATGTAGACATACCTCGACCACGAAACTATACGTCGGCTCTGAATTCCACGGGAGTTTGAAATACGATAGATTCTCAGTCACTAATTAATGTTCATATTCCTGCAAGGGATTTGGTCGCACAAGAAATTAATGACATTGTTATACACAATGAACAAATTATTAAAATAGCTTCACCATGTTCATATCTACGGTACATGATTGGAAACATTTCAGATAAATATAACTCCTCGGGGCCTTTCGATCGGGTCCTTCTTTCGATAATGCATCGAGGCCTTTCGGAAAGTTCCATTATAAACATAACAAAATATTTATCAGGGATAATGCAATGTTGTTACTCTGTTGGCAAAGTCTAATGAACAATAATTTTGCATAGTTATATTATTTACAAATAATGAATTCATGAATGAATTTCCAACTTAACTCAGTTGACTTTTTTAATTCGTGCTGAATTCTCACCGAGGTAATTCCTCAACGAGCATGAGAATTTATAATTCATTATTTTACCACACGTTGATGCATAAATTGCATAAATGATCTTTCGCTAAGTCTTATTTAGTCAACATGAAAAATAAATATTACAATATTAAAAATGCACGTCATGCTTGTCAGAGAGGTGGACCCAACAAGGACAATGCAGGAGGAACGGCAGGCTCAGCCTGAGAGTCTCCTCTTCTGCAGGCCATTTAGCTTAATTAGTATCCTTGGTTGAGCTCAGCTAATGAAGTTATGGGGAAATAATAAACTCATTATCCTGAAGCCTGCGGTCCCTGCGCTACACACACAAGGAAATGAAAGACGATGGAAATAAAAAAAGACGCTGACAAGGAAACAATGAAGCAGACAAGGAAACAATAGAAGCAGACAAGGAAACAATAGAAGCAGACAAGGAAACAATAGAAGCAGACAAGGAAACAATGAAGCAGACAAGGAAACAATAGAAGCAGACAAGGAAACAATGAAGCAGACAAGGAAACAAAAGACGCTGACAAGGAAACAATAGAAGCAGACAAGGAAATAATAGACGCAGATAAAAGGCGCAAGAAGACGTCAAGTCTTCCTGTGCGTCATGCAAGGAAGAA